TGCCTTGTCACCGCCCCAGCCACATCTGCTCTCACAGATGGGGCCCCAGTGTGTCCTGTGCTGGACCGTGCTCCTCGCAGCCCTGAGCAGCGTGCTGCCTGACCCCCCTCCTCACCAAGTGGGCCAGAGAAGAGGCAACCAGCAGCACCCGGGGGAGGCACATGCATGGGCGCCTCACTGCAGGAATGATCTCCCACAGCTGGGCACCACCTGGGTCTCACCTCTGAGCCACCTGGGGCCTTCGCAGCGCCGTCCTCTCCCCCCCCAGCACCAGGACCAAGACCCTGCTGCAACTGTCGGGAGAGGCAAGTGCTGGGAAGCTTCCTCCTTCACGGCAGCAGGCTCACCTGCCTCCCGGTGGCTATGTGGGGCGGCAGCCACATCTTGTGGAGGTGCTCCGAGGGACCCCCGCACTAACCAGGTGCCCTAACCCGGGGTGAGGGGTCCAAGCCCAGGTGGGGGGCCGTGGAGCACCAGCCAGGGGCTGGGCGGCCACAGTACCTGCTGAAGCACCAGCCTGGTTGGCCATCCTGCTGGCAGCAGATGCACTGGGGGAGACGGATGGTCCTCGGGGTGGGTGAGGTTGGACAAGACAGCCTGGAAATGGAGGGGCTGGCAGGTGTCGAGCAGAGGGGCAAAAGGAGATGGGGTGGTGTGACGGGCACAGGGGCAGGAATGGCCAGGACAGAGGATGAGTGCGCGGGTGGGATGGCAGCAGGGGAGAGCAACGGGAGCAGATGAGTGTGACGTGAAATCAGAATACACAGCTGGCTGCCAGACGGTCACCTCCCACACCAGGCGCTCCCTCCCCGCTCCCTCCGTCCTGTCAGCTGGCATCATTGTAACTCACGAGCTGAGAGCTGGACAGGCCCGGCATGACAGAGGCAGGGGGATGGAGACCACGGCACATGCCTCTTTCCGCCACCCACTCATGCTGCTCTTCGGCACAGCAGGCTGGGAGCAAACACACACGTCCCCTTTGCCTGTGCAAATCCACTCGCTCAAGCCTAGCGCAGCACGGAGCGGCTGGGGTCGAGCAGCTGTCTGCTGGGGAAGACGCCTGGGGCAAGAGTCGGGGGACAGAGACTTGTGTGAAACAGGACCATGAGAGACAGAGGGTGAGAGACATGGCTGTGCCAGAGCTGCCCCAGCAGTGCCCACTTGGCCCAGCCCAGCACTACCAACGCTCATCGTAGGCCCGCTGGGCCATCGCTGCCCCCGTGCCCGGGCAGAGCTCCCAGGGGGGCACAGGGACCAGCAGGGCCCCAGGGCTGTGGCACACCTGCCCACACCACTGCCCGGCAGGCGGGATGCTCACAGCCGTGCTTTGCCATCAGGAGCACCCGCCAACCCAGAACC